TTTTGGATACTATACGAAAGGAGACACAAATATGGATTAGGGATAGCCAGTAAGGATTTATTTAGGACATGTTATTTGAAATTGGCCACGAAGGATTGATTGGATGTTGACAGGTGGAAATATAGTGGTAGAAGGACATTCTTGGTAGAAGGGACTGTATGTGCATGTACAGTCACAGGTAAACTGAGATTCAAAATATGCACCTACTTTTGTTATGTTTATTGTGTTCCTGTGCTACAGAGTACTTTTATCCAATGACTCAAAAAGAATATCACTATGATGTAATTATCTGAAGGATACTCAGACCATTCAGCTTCTTGACTAGCATATAACCACCTGGGAAAAGTTGAGTACTTTAGATACAGCTGATTGGGCTGGCGTTGGCTTAGGTGGTGAGCTTTGGAGGCAGTGAGCTGGATAACGGGGGTGTGTGTGTGTGTGTGAATCTATCTTACAGTTCTGTGTGTCAGAAGTCCAGCAATGGGTACCATTAAGCTAAAATCAAGGTGTCAGCAGGGTTGGGTTCATTTTTGGAGGTTCTGGGGATATGATTTCCTTGTTCATTTAGGCTGTTAGCAGACTTTACTTCCTCAATGTTGGAGAACCTATGTCTCCATTTCCTTGCTGGCTGTCAGCTGAAGGCTGTTCCCAACTTCTAGAGGCCACTCATATGTCTTGGCTCATGAGCCCCTTCCTTCATCTTAAAAGCCAGCAACTCTTCTGCCATCCACTATTAAGGACTCATGTAAGTTCATTGGGCCCACCTGGACAATCCGCGCTTATCTTCCCCTCTCAAGGTCCTCAACCTTAATCACATCTGCAAAGTCCCTTTTGTCATGTAAGGTAACATATTCACAGGTTCCAGGATTAGAGTACGGACATTTTGGGGGGACAATTATTTGGCCTGCCACACAGTGCCCTCGTCTCCTGTGACACCTCTTGGAACTGTAGCCAGTGGCAGAATAGAGGACCACATAGGCTCCTGTTGTGGTGTTGTGGGTATCAGTAGCAACAGTCACAGCAGCAAATCTGGAATCTCAGTCCACTGAGAGAGATGATGGATTTCAGCTCATCAGAGAACCCAGAGTCTGATAAACCTTTTAAGGTAAGAAATGTAAATTTCTAACTATACATTTTCTCAACACCTACTAACTCTCTGCTAGCCAGTATAGAAAACAGGGAATTCAGTCCCTGCTGAATACAGTCCCTGCCCAATGGATTCACAAATTGAATGTCAGACTGAGGGAGAGGCAGAATGGTAACAGAGTGAGGCATGCCCTGGATGGAGGGGGAGAAACAGAGTTAGGGAGTGGTGAGCTACTCCCACAGATGAATAGAATGTTAGAGCTGTCCAAAGGACCCAAGATATCATTTAGCCATGCTATAGATCTTTTGGGAAGCTTCTTGGGAATGCACTCTACCCTTATATCTAGTTCTCTGCTTTATCCCCAACATCTAAAACATTGTTTTACCACTTAATGGATGTTCAATAAATACTTGTTGACTATGTGGAAACTTGGGTCAGAGAGGTGAGTTGATATGATTACGGTCACACAGCTGGTTTATGGTAGAGCTGGATCTATTAGAAACTGGTTTTGATTCTTCATTCTTTGTTCTATCAAATTTAGGAGGCAGCTCCTGGAAAATGAACTACTTCAACAATTGAAGCCTTCTGTATGCTGACTTTCTTTCTACCTTGCACGTTGCACTTCTTGCTATATGAAATATTACTTATCAAATCTATCAAATTAATGTCTGGAACGTGAGTCAAGAGACCCGAGTTCTGTTTTTTTGTTTTTTTTTTTTTAAGATTTTATTGGGGAATTGGAGGGAGGGTAACAGCGTTGGGGAATCGGGGAAGGGGAACAGACAGGTAGACAAATTGCTGTTTTGTTCTTCAGTCTAGTTGTGGAGGACGTTGCTCCACTGGCCCATTTTGATATGATCATTGTGCTCTTCCCGGGTGAGGCAATCGGTTGCCAGTCGTTGGTCGGCAGCTCACAGCGTCTCCTGGTAGCTCACACCAGCTACCAGCCGCTCATGCTGACTGCCAGCCACTCAGGTAGCTCACAGCAGCCCACTGCAGCCTACGCCATCGACGGCGACTCATGGCAGCCCAGCTCGACGAGCTGTTGTTCATCATCTTAGCTGTAGAGGGCAGTGTCACTGGCCCTCAATGTGGGATCTGAACCGCAACCCTGCTGCTCAGAGCTGGTGCTCCCAAGTGAGCTCTTAACCAGCTGAGCCACTCGGCCAGCCCCTGAGTTCTGTTTTTCCTCTATTCACTTCCTTCATGACTGAGGCAAATTACTTAACCTAAGCTCAGCTCTTCATCTGTCATGAGAAAGGCTAAAGTTCCTTTCAGCTCTTATGTCCTATGATTCTACATTTCATGAAAACTAATGCATAAGCTTACTCATGGACCATATGTCTGAATAGCTTTTTTTTTTTAAGCTGAGCCATCCTGCTGCCTATTGACAGACAAGCAGCTGCTCAGCTCGGGCCAGTAATCGAACCTCTGTTGCTAAGAGCTCAAACTCTTGAGTGAGCTCTTAACCAACTTAGCCACTTGGCCAGCCCCTGAATATCTTTGTATCAGTTGTTCTTAAAGTGTAAGTGTGGTCAGAACATCAACTCTATCAGAATCACCTGGAGTCCTTTAAGTATGCTAATTTGCAATTGTTAAAAAGAATGAATTAGATGTATAGTTGTTGATTTGCAGGGATTTCCATTAGGCTCTATTTCCTAACCCTTTTCACCTCTATAATCATGGTACCCATAAAAAGTAACTATAGTTATGTGGTTTACTGGGGTAAGAAATCTTAAACTGTCTCTTTGCCAATGTACATCTTACAGAGAAACTGCCATAAACATAATTGGAAAAACAAGTTGTAGAAAAATATATACGATCCCATTTTTTTCAAGACAATGCCAAATTTCTGTATGAGTATATATAAATATGTCTGCATGAATATGTATTATATATTCGTATGACTATGTGTTAGGTATATGAGTGTAGATATACATTATAAGAATATTGAAAGGAACATACCAGGTTGTTAATGTAGGGGAAGAAAGAAGGGAAGACAAAGGACAAAAATTTTTTTAAAAAGTGAAAACACTATATGTATGCTATGAATCTATTTATGCATTTATGTAAAATAATGTATTTGTATATAAGGACATTTTAAAAATAAAATAAAAAATGCTGATCCAGGGCCTCTAACTTAGATCCCAGAGCAGAATCTCAGGGATAGGAGCTGTGGAGAGGTGGGTACTTGCATCATTAACAAGTATTTCAAGTATTCTGGAACAAAGAAGCCTGTAAATTTTTGCATTAACTGCTAATGTCATTAGCTGTGAACATAGCATATTTGGAAATTTCCATTCTGCAATGCAGGCTCAGCTGATCCTCATTGTCTTGGAACATAGTAGATACATAATAAACAGCTGATTATTTGGGTCATTTGGGCCTCAGGTAGAGGGAGTGAGGGCCAAAGTGGTGTGAGAAGAAGATCAGCTGGGCAACATCAAGCCCTGGACAGATGAGGAAAAGCACTTAAGAACAGTGGGCTGGGCCCCCTTGCCATTTTCAGGCATTCAACAAATATGTTAGGCACTAAATAAATGCAGGACATTTTTCTACATCTTATTTCACTGACTTCTTCAATAACCCTTCACACACCAACAGAGGAGAGGTGAGGTGAATAGCCCACATAGTACACATTTTGAGCACTAGGCACCAGCAGCTGCTGAGGATAGGATGGTGAGCACAATAGATTGTTTGCTCTTTTTCATATCAGAATCTTGCAGCTCTGCCATGATCATTCCTGTTGTCATTTATTAGTTGACACTCCTAGTCGGTTGCCTTTGTCATATACCCCAACCTGGATCCCGCCAAAGAGATTACAGCAAAATGTGATTTCTGTCCATCTCTAGCTAGCTAGTGTTTTCACAGCAGGCAGAAAGTATTTCCCAGCTGACTTTGCATAGTGCCAGCCTCCAACAGGCCAAGGCAACTAACTCTAGTTGCCTATAATTATTTTCACTTGGTGGGTGCCTAAGAATTCCACCAAGTGAAAATAATTCTAGCTCTGGAGCTTCATCTGCTAAGTGCTTTTCTGTTAGTGCAGAAGGAAGATACGCGTGGAAAAGGGATGCCCTCAGCTCAGGGTTGAGGCAATGAATGTTACAAATAGATTCCTTACACATACCCATTTTACAATAACCTCATCCCTGGTGTTGGGGAGCCAATAGGAAAAAAATCAGAATTTTTTTTTTCAAATGCTTGAAAGTAAACAAAAACGTAATCTTTTTGTCGTTCACTAATATTAACTTAATCCCTCGACTTGTGCCCTATCCTCCCATCATTTCCGGAGAAGTAGCCATTTTGCAGATTCCGGAGGATGGGAGCAGAGGCCAGACTGTGGTACTGAATTTTGTTTCCCAAACCTCCGCGGAGCCAGTCCGAATCAGTAGCAACAAGGCTGGTCTCCGTGATTTGGCAGCAACCTAGAGTCGGAGGGACCGGAAGATGGGAGGCTGGGATTCCCAGGTGGGGTCAAAGGTGTGCAAAATTCATTAGTCAGGGCTGGGCCCCACGGGACTTAATCATTCAATTCCGCTGCACAGCTACCCGGTTCCACGCGGTCTCCGCCCGGTGCCGGAAGCGTGGTTAAATAGCACCTCCCTCCCCAGGTGTGCAGCCTACATCCCAGGCTGCCTTCCCAATCTGGGGCAGTGGTGTCAGTGGGTCTTACCCACAAAATACTACCTCTTCCCCAAGTCATGTTCGATCACAGGGGCCGATTTTAAATTGACGATAATACAATGAAGTCCACACAGATGCGCTGCTGGTCAAGATGCAGAATCTCAGTCAGGTCTACTGGAAGTAGGACGGATCACGCTGCTCTCCGCTCCCGGCTCCCTCCGCCCTCAGTCCCTATTCGGTCGCAGCCAAAGCCCGGAGCGCTGGATCACGGCCCAGAGGAACGGGACGGCGAACGGGATAAACGCCGCCGGCCCGGAGCCCGTCGCACCGGGCATGCTCAGTGGCGCGGCCGGCTGGGTGGCCCGGCGAGCTGCACCCGGATCTGCTCGGCGGCAGCGGCGGCGACGTGAGCGCGCAGGGGGGCGGCGGCCTCGCCTCGTCTCCCTCACTGCGCCTGGGTCGGGTGGGTGACGCCGAGTGCGAGAAAGATGTCGGATTTCGACAGTAACCCGTTTGCGGACCCGGATATCAACAACCCCTTCAAGGTGAGCGTTGTCCCCAAGCATCTCCCGCCGCCGCGACGCCTCGTTGTTTCTGAAAACAGACAAGTTCCTTCGAGCCCACTGCGTCCGCCCCTCGCCTCCTCTCAGCCGCTTCTTAGACGGACTCGGGGCCGCCGCACCCCTTTTGGGGGTCGCGCCCCAGGCCCCGCGTCACTTGTTTGGGGGTCGGACCGGAACCTCCTAAGCTCCGCGTCCGGCCGCCCCTCCCCACGTCCCCGACTGAGGAGGGTCGTGCCCTGGCCCAGGAGTGGGCCCACGCGCCAGGGAGGGTTCCTGGCCCGCCCTTTGGGAGCGGGGAGAGTGAGATACCTGGGCAGGTGGAGTTGTCAGCTGCTAGGCAAGTGTGGCTGGTCGGGCCGCGGCCGGGACTGGGAGGCGGTGAAGGAGGGCTCACCCTCTGGAGGGGTTGTCATGGGGACCCAAGGCGGCGGCGAAGTGCTGCGTGGGGTGATGGCAGAGGTGTGGAGCAGAGGTGCGGGCACAGAGCTGCAATTAAAAAAAAAATTATGTTTTTATTTTTGAAACTTGTGTTGCGCCCAAATACCACCAGCGGCGCTGCCATTCCCCCCTCCCTACCATGAGGCTGAGGTTGAGGGTCTGATAGCAAAAATAAGCACACCTGGAAAAAGACTAGTGCACGTGGACGATCACCTTCCTACCTAATTGTTCTCAGTAAGGTAAACGACGGGATATTTTCCAAGCTCCTTGTGCGTCACCAGTTCTCTGGGCTGGATGAGGATACCATTTCCCACATGAGCTTTTTTTCCTTCTTGGAGCCTACCTTATCAACTCCAGCTTCGGAAGGGCTTGGCACAGGACCGGGCAAAGGAAGGAGACCTAAGAAGTTCATTATCTGCTCTTACATTAATGCAACATCTAAATAAATAGCTCTTTAAAAGTACTCCAGGTTTCTTAATGAGGGCAGTTTGCTTGGCACGGAAAAGTTGTTTCAGAATGTTGGTTGAAGTTGTTTTCTTAATTTCCCCTGGATAGGTGCAGTAGTAACTTTTAATTTGTCGTCATACACAAGGAAATAAAAACTTTAATTTGTGATCACACGAGTCATTTCTGGCTTGTTGAATTTACATCTCTTCTTTTTACTCCTGGTTTTATCTCTTACTAAAAATCCTGCAGGAGGAAAAATTTCCCTGTTCTGATTATTATTAGCCTGATAATTTCATGGAGGGTTATGTTAATTAAATGATCCTGGTCATTATTGATAACTTGACTGTATAAATGTAGACTAGACCCATTCACTATTCCTTTACCTGTAATGTCACTTAAGAAAATTCTATACAACTGGCCTGGAACATGCAGGTTTTAACAGATGATATAGTCCCTCCCCACACCCCTCCCCGCCCCCCGAAATTTAATATTTAGTATTCCATCATTTCATGTGGAAAATTTGATAACTTGACAAGTGGATGTTATTTTAAAACATTTTAAAGACATAACATTAAGAACCTGTTAGCTTTTCCTGATTCACATAATTCACTGATGCATGTGACAGTTTGGCTGTTTTCTATTTGGTCATTCCATTTCATGGCTCATTTTATATAGCTGGTTCTGTTGTCAATGCACAACATTGTCTTCTTCTTAGCCCGGACTGTCTTTTGTTACATGTGATGTTGCCATGGCACTTCCCTCTTCTGCCACACATAAGGTTGCTGTAGTAATTCTAAACTCAGAAGTAATTTTAAATACTCATTCGTTGTGGCATCAAATTATAAACCTTTTTTGTTCTTTATAAGTGGATGCACTCAGAGGATAATAATTATTCAAGTTCACAAATATTTCAAGGGATGGATAACTTAGGCCTAAAGAATACTTGATTGTACACATGTTCCTGTTTATGGTCTTTCCCTGTTTCTGGTGACTGTCACAGCGCTGTGTACCTGACCCTTTATCTTTGCATTTGTGTCTAGCTGCCCTTCCTCTTAAAGTAAAGCTTTACATTTATAGCATATTATTTTCTTCTCTCTACTTTTGTCTGCCTCCTATGTAAATGTGATTTTTGAACTAGCATTTCTGGTCCTCTCTACTTAAATATAAAAAGTTCCTATATTCATATTTGTGTTATCTTATGATCACCTTTTCAAATCTGTTCTTATTTTCAATATTAGAAAATAAAGTTCATAGTTTCAAAATGTATATTTCATATTTGGCAGTCACCCCATGTCTTCTTGATTACAAACTATTTGATTTCCATTGCCTTTTCAGTTTTTTAACCTTTCCTTCACTTTTATGTTAGGAACACTTTTGCTAGCACCTTCATTTGAGTCATGAAAATAATTTCTGAGGATAATATCCTTAGATAATGTGACTACAGTGGCTTACTTGATTTTATTGTACAGTTATTTGCTAGATTCAATTCATTTTTTGAGTGCCCGCTTTATTCTACTGGTTGTGATAGGCTCAGTGAATGAGTTTATAGCATTTGAATAGTTTTCATTGTGCATCAAGAAACTTGGAATAACTGGAAATGTGTAGTAATCTGAAAGAAAATAGATTATCATATGGATGTTTCTGATAATTCACTCTTGGATTGTTATTAAGTGGTTTTAAAGCTAGTGAGGAAAAGTATTTTCTGCATAGTCCTAGTCAACATGTATGTATTGAATAATTGCTGTATGTCTTTTGTTCATCTGTTCAGTTACTCATTCAACAGATATTAAAGAAATATCACTGTCCTTAAGGATATTAGCCTAACATGGAGACAAACATACCTGGAAAGTGAAATAAAAGGAGAGAGTTTAATAACCAGAAATCAGTAATATAGGCTTTCTTATAAGTTACTGTATGAGTATGTGGAATGAATGTAGCTTGTTCAAAGGAGGAAGCAATAGGTGGTCAGAAAATCTTCATGCCTTCTAATATGCTTTAGTATAAATATGCTGATTAAGTGGGTTAGAAAATTCATTTTGGAAATGACATTAAATGTAATTTTTAAAATAAGAGAATCAAAATTTCAATGCAGGGAAAGGAAAATCTTAAAATGTGTTTCATCGGAAAAAAAAATGTATTTAGTCAGATCTTCATGGATGAAAAAAAGCCCAGAGATTTGATATTTTACATTTGGCAACCATCCTGATTTCTTCTTCATTAAAAACTATTTGACTTCCTTTGCTAACTTGCTACCTTGCTCATTGTTTTATATGCAGATGTAGGTAGTGCAGAATTGGCATCAGAACTTAGATCTCCTGATTCCAAGTCCACTGCTGATGGCACTGTATTTGGTTGCGTTTCTGACACCAAAATTCTTGTTTTGTATTTGGAGCTTGGACTTGAGGCTCTCATGGGGAGACAGCAGAGGGTAGGTAGTATTTAAAAGTTTTTGCTCAAGAGCTTAAAAAAAAAAAATCCCAACAAAGCCTGTTGTTATTAACCAGCTGTGAGACCTTAACTTCTCTATACCTCAGTTTACTATTGTGTAAAATAGGTTAATGGTACCTTCTCCATAGAATTGCTAATAGGATTAGATGAACAAACATTTAGCAATGTAATAAGTGTTCAGTGCATGGTAGCTTTGATTATTATAATAAGTAGTATAATAGTACTTCAAGAAATTGTATTTAATTATAGATACCTATATTCTTATTAATTTGGTGAAGTTCATGTTCCTTTTGAATCTTTTAGAATGCTATAACTTTGGCAGGTCATAGTTGGGAGAATCAAGGCCAAAAATAATTAAGTGGCTTGCTCTAAGTCATTCTGCTAGACTAGATCCAGGTTGTCAGAATTCTAATGCTTTGTCACTGTGTGTGCTTCCACTCTAATTAAAGAACTCTATTAAAATTGAGTACAGTGTGCATTTTGTTTTGGCCTCAAAAATCAATTCTACTCTATTTAAATCATCTCTTAAAAATGGCCTACAACTCAGCATTCTTATTTGTGTTATCTTTTAAGTTACAGTAATTTCGGTAGTATCGTTAAGAGTTTAGTTGAAGTTGAAAATTGAAAATCTTGTCATTAAAAGGTGACCTGTCGTATTTCAAGGATATCATCCATTTTGTTTTCATTGACAGTTAGTTGCTGTCACTCTTTCATTATCCATTTAAAATTTAAGATTGGAGATTGGATAGCACAAGGAAAGGATTTTGAGGATTTCTTCTGTGATAGTCTAATGTTAATCTGGACATAGTGTTAGTAATTTATAATGTATAGCATTTTACATTCAGGTCAACTGTGTGAGTTCCCCCTCTCTTTCCTCAGGTTGTTATTTTCAAAGATTTTTTTTTTTAATTGGGGAATTGGGGGGATGGGAACAGTGCTGGGGAATTGGGGGAAGGGGAACAGACAAGTCGCTGTCGTTTTGTT